GGACTGGCCTAGGGGTATTTTAAATTGGTTTTAACAAAATTTTTAGTAGAAGCGGCCTAGTTAAATATTTATTTTTAATCACTTTTAAATTTTGTATTGTATTGTATTATTGTTTTTAAACTGGCTGTAAGCCGCCCTGAGTCCTCCGGGAGAAGGGCGGGGTATAAATTTAATAAAACTAAAACTAAAACTAAACTAATGTTGTCCTTTCAGATTTGGGCTATTTGCTGGTATTCTGTTATGTCCCTCTTTTGATTTTTTAATACTTGTCCTTTTTGTGCTCTCAGTTTGTCAGAGAGTTCTTTATACAACCATATTAGTTTCGTCTGGGTCCCTTGTTTTCTTTCTCTGGTATTGGATTAGGTTGGGTTTTTATAATCTCATTTTTCAGAGGTTTCAAAATGTCTTGAATTATTTTCCCCTTTTAAGATTTCCATCCATGGAATCCTCCTAGTTTTATGATAGTGTTTACTGAGGGCATAGTGCTTGAAGTCAGATAGGTGAAGTTGGCCACAGCATTGTGTACTACTACATTGTGTACTAAATAGGGTTGGATTGCTTGTGTATCACATCTTTCAGATGTGCTGAACTCTTTGTGGAATTCCAGTAGCCAGTGTGGAAGGTGCCGTATTGGAGAAGGTTGAGCTAGGTTCAATATTATAATTTTGTTCTCCGCTATGAAAATAATATTTACAGATAGCCAACTTATGGCAGTAGTTAAGCCTGGTGATTATAACTTGTGACAATTGTAAAGCGAGTCACCATATGAACCATCTAATTTTACGCCCTTTTTTGCAGCAGTTGAATAGCAAATGTGAATTTGTTGTTAAGTGAACACTGTGGTCATTAGTCAAATCCATTTTTCATCATAGGCCAGTTTTTGCCATAAACCAAAAATAAACATCAGTTTCCAGGTAAATCATCATAAATGGCAGTCATATGACTGTGGGATGCTGCAAAGGTCATATGGGCCAGTTGCCAATCACCCAAAATGCATCCATGTGACTGTGGGGAGGGGGCATTGGAACCTCAGAATTGGGTCTTAAGTAATGCGGGGATCTGACATAACTTCAAACAGTCACTAAGTGACCAGTCGTAAGTCGAGAACTACCTGTAGGAATGTGTACAGAAGAAAAAAATATGGCAACTTTCTAGAAAACCTGTGATGGTTATCAATTTTTGGCTGATGTTTGAGATGAGTGTAATGAGGCATGCTTTCCTCTGCACACCAGCCTTCCTGTGAATGCGTGCCTATTTAATTCCTCCATGTCATATATATTCTTCTTCCTCTCTGCCTCCATCATAGGTATATACATTTGTTCCAAATGCGGCTATGAATTATTCTCCAGCCAGTCCAAATTCCTCCATTCGTCCCCTTGGCCAGCCTTTACCCGTCCTATTCACAGTGACAGCATCTCCAAGTACTTAGAACGCCCAGGAGCTTTCAAGGTGAGGACTTGGGTTGTATTGCAACGGACTCAAACCTTGGCAAGGTCAGAGTTCTTGAATCAGTATCCCAAATGCAGCTGAAGCTTGCTGGTAAATCTGGCAATTCCCAGAGTTGCATTTGAAATTGTAGGGATTGTTTCCAAGGTTCGGCTTTGAAGAGAACCTATTTATTCAGAATGCAAGCAGCTTCTTTAACAGGGGCGAGGTAGAATTATCCTCTTGTTTTTGCTTACTTTTTATAGCCAGTGTTGATGCCAGTGGATTACAGCTTTCTCTTTTTTTTAGATCAGGTCTACGGGCTTTCCTCAAAAACTGTATTTATTTATTTTCTCTAGACACCCACCTCAGTCAAGTGATTCAAATTGTTTTAATTCTAAAACAAAACTGTACAAAATAAATATGTACAGCAGCTCAGAAAATTACAGTATCAGACTAATTGTCAGTAAAGCCAAGAAACGGGACCCTTAACACATTCAGGGCCCCAGGCTCTGACACATGGTCAGATTTTCAAAGCCTTGTGAAATTTTGTAAGTATGTTTAGAAAATATTATAGTGCTTTTGAGGTATTTTATAGATACCACATTTTCAATTAGAAGCTTCTTGAATATATTGATCAATAATTAAATATTATAAATAATCAAAGACTGCTTTCCAGGAGGAAGACAAAAAACCCAAGGAATGAATAGTAAGGAAGCAATTAGAAGAAGGGACTGCAGAGGGAATAGCATTTCCTTCTGAACAAACCTTGTAGAAAAAACTATGGGATTGGACATGGAGTACTCTCTGTTATGGGCTGCAATTCTGCTTTTCAGCTCATTTCAGGAAAAGGGTCTTTGTATAGAAGCAGCTGATATATGACAGCAGATAGTTTTTACTCTTAATTCCCTCTAATTTCCTTGCAGGTCTCATGTGGCAAGTGTGGGAACGGCCTGGGTCATGAATTCCTCGATGATGGCCCCAAAAAGAGCCAATCTCGTTTCTGAATATTTAGCAGTTCTCTCACATTTGTTCATAAAGGTATTGTTAACCTACCACCTGCCCTTCCTTACCCAGATTGCAAAATTATTTTTAATACTATCTTATAATGTAATATTTGGAAAAAATAGTTTTGGCCACAACATTCTGTGGACTCGATGCAGTCTCACTGTGAAGAGTTCTAAATGATCAGAAAATGTACCAGTAGCTTTCAGTAACACAGCAAGCCTTTCCAGAATTGTATTAGAGGCTATCCATTCTTCTATCTATTCACTGGGGTAAGCTTAGGGCAGGGTTTAAGGGCTGGTGTTTAAAGGTTCCATTCAATCTATAAACTATATAAATCTGCCCGCCATTGGGTTGAATTTTCCCAGGTTGGGAAAAAAATAGACACAAAATCCTTAAGCCCGATGATCCCCATCCATTCCCTCAAAATAATTGAAACATGGGGACCAGTTTACTCTTCCTGCCATCTTTTTTTTTTTTTTTTTTTTTTTTTTTTTTTTTTTTTTTTTTTTTTTTTTTTTTTTTTTTTTTTTTTTTTTT